AGCTCGCGAATTAAGCAGCTAGGAGAGAGAGAATGGCTAAGCCAACTTGAACAGTATAGGAAAAAAGCCACTAGCAAGAATCCACATACGTACGCAGCAAAATACAAGTGGAAGATAAGAAAGCAAATCGCTATTCCTAGCAATACTAGAAGAGAGATTTCTAGCGCTTTCTACTAACTTAAACTAGGGCACTATTACCTAAGGGACTACCTATATAAGAGAGGGAAAGTAGATTCTAATAGTTGCCCCTGCAACTATAGGTCTATACAAGACCTACCTTATATTCTATTTAGATGTAATCTATATAGAGAGGAAAGGAAAGGACTAAGAGAAGCCTGCGAAGGCGATCTATCACTACCTATCCTCTTTTAAACAAAAGAGGGTATAGAAGCAACTATTACCTTTATTCAAGAAACAAAGGTTGGAACACAAGCCTGGTACAAAGGAAACACAGAAAACGAGGAGTAATACCTGTAACAGGTAGCCATACACCTCCCCCACCCTATCCCACCCCCTACCCACTAACTAATAGGCTACGAGCCTCACCTTTATCTAGTTAAAACCCCTCCTACATATCGTAGCTAGAAACAACCTACTTAGATACTTGTAGGCCTAAAAACCCTACACGTCTTATATAGCCCTTCGGGCTGAAAAAGGACGTTAAACTAGAATAATAATAATAATAATGCAACCCTGTTAGCAACAACTTTTAATAGTCACCTCCGTACATCTCCAAAAATGAGCATTCCCATATCCACACTCCCACCAGATTCAAGGACTACCTACATACTCGACCAGCTCGAGGGTGAGCGCGTAACTCTACCGGGCAGCAAACGCGTCTTTCGAATCCTCGCATCATCCAAACAAACCGATGGCGGAATCGCCGTCTTTACCAGCGGCGCCGTGCTATCAGACGCACCGGGCTTCCACTGGCATGAAAAAGCACATGACGTGTTCCTCGTGACAAAAGGTTTTGTCAAACTGTGGAACGGCGACAAGTGCAGGATAATGGGGCCAGGCGATTTCGCCTATGTCCCACCAGTAAGCCGACTCTGACACTATCACATGGCACACTGCTCACATGTCCTAGAAAGTAATTCACAACCCCGAACTTCTGGGGCCACACACAGAAACTTTCGGTCTCGTTGCGCCAGGTGACTGGATTGATTTCTTCCGTTACGTAGGCGAGACGTACAACGGAGTTATCGTGCCTGAGAACGACAATCGCGATCTCAAAGCCATGCTGATCCCCAAGCTGATGGCATCCAAGGACCGGTTTGACGTGCACTTTGAACGAGAGTACCAGCCCCCCGAGGTCGCCCCGTGGGAAGACTCGGAGAACCAGCTTCCAGCGGCAGGCCAACCTTATTTCCTGCGGGCCAACACGGGGCCCCGCTGGATCCTGGGTGGAGTCATCTCGCGGCCGTTCATCCATGCCGAGCAAACAGGCGGCCTATTCGCCATCTCAAGCATAGAATCCTCGCGGGTTTACGACAAAAAGCAGCAGCCGCTGGCGCGCTGGCTCACATTTGCCAAGTTAGATCATTGCTTCTGTGTCCAGGAGGGTCTCCTCCGCATCCGATTACAATCGAGTGAGGTCTGGAATGAGATTCGCGAGGGCCAGACGATACTCGTTGCGGCGGGCGAGACTTTCACGGTTGATTTCGGCAGCCGATATGTACGCGTGTGGTCTTTTACCAATGGAGAGGGAGTCGAGGAGTTGATTAGAAAGGCTGGAACCTCGTATGAGGGATTCGTGCTACCGGAAGAGCCGGCAGGTCTAGATGAGGCAAAGGTATCAGAATCTTGCAAAGAGCTGGGCATTGCTTCTAAGAGCCTTTAGTGATGAACCGAGTGGCTCAGATTGAAGAATAGCAAATATGTTACTTGACTGTTGTGCAGGCGCTGACGATTGTTCTCTTCACATGTCGACTCAAGCTTTAGACAGCAAGCTGAAGCGTGAGTGTTATGTATCTTGCCGCAAAGCTATCAAGCGTGCAGATTAGTTCTTGCCAAGGTAAGTAAGGCTGATAAGCCCGAGTTTATTTCAACATGCATTCTTGGCCATAAATGTACCAGCAAGCATTATCGAATTTACGCAAATACTCGCAGTTAGAGCAGTCAGTTGTTGATGCGGAAATCCCATACAGGTACTAGGCAGCACCTTTTATGATCGCAATTGAGCCCAGTGACTCTGCCTGTCCTCGTAGTATTCATAGCACGTCCACGAGAAAACGACAATCTACCCACAAGCACCTCAAACTCTATTACAGAATTCTACAAGTGGTACTTGAACAACGGACTCCGATCCCCCATCTTCTCCAACTGCGCAGGCGTATAAATCGCCCTCCACTCCTCCTCCGTCTTCTCCGCATTGCGCTTATTAATCCTTAAGAACAAAAATTCCAGCGTAAATGCACACACCATGCCCGCGGCTGCAAAGGAGAGCGAAGATCCAAATCCCGTCTCGTACTTGGGCGACTCTTTTTCCTGGAAAATGAAGGAGCCCACGATGCCGCCTAGGTTGCCGATGCAAATCATGGTTGCGATACTGTGTATTCTTTTGTTAGACGGAATATGTAGATCTGACTTGGGATTACCAGACTTACCCAACGGCACGTTTCTCAGGCCCGGCTAGGTTATTAATGGTCCACGCATTGCAGCCTGGCAGAATCGGATAGATGCCAATGCACGCAACGTGAACTGCAAAGTAGCACACGGCCACGTTGTCCTTGATAGCCTCTGCCTTTGCAAACAGAATAGCATATGCAATAATGAGCAGACCTTGTGCGGTAGTGATGAACGGCATGCGCCATGTGAATCTGTCAGCGAGAAGGGAAGAGACCAGCGCTGAGATGGCGCCACAGGCGTACGGAGGCGCAGTCATGAGCTGTGCGGTTGTGCTTGTGAATCCCACTATTTCTCTGATCAGTAGCTTTCCCTATGTATAGCCGTGTGCGCTGATAACTGACTGTTCTTGAGGATCTGGGGCATGGTGAATTTCAGTCCGTAGTTTGACACGGCGTTACTGGCAAAAATCATGGCTTGCAGGTAGATCTGCCAGTCTTTCATGACCTGGCCGATGACACCCCATTTTATTCTCTCTTTCTTGCCATCGGCATTGACGCGGGGCTTGCGCTTTAGACCACGAGTGACTATATGGGTTAGGCGGAGGAATCGCGCTTCGTCCGTCGTGAGCCAGCGGCCGATGGCATGGTCTGGAGAGTCTGGGAGTAAGAAGAAAACAGCGACACCCATGACGACCGTAGCCATGCCTTCGAGGATGAAGATCCATCTCCATCTTTTGGCAAAACACGTTAGTCTTCCAGTGGCCAATGACAGGGGCATGGCACTACTCACCCCTCAAGTCCCGCAATGCCTATGTTCACTTGTCAGTTGTATATTTACAATCGCCATAAACCCACTTACCATTCATTTTTGCAATCGCAGCAACCAGCAGACCCGAAAACGCGCCACTCGTCGCTGAAGCACAGTAAAACAGCGCCATGCGAAACTGCGTCCGGTCGGGCGGATACCACTGACCAACAAGATAAATTGCACCAGGAAAGAAGCCAGCCTCAAACAAGCCCAGAAAGAACCTTGTTGCACAGAGCCCTGCGAGATTCTGTACAAGCCCTATGACCGTCATGACGGTGCCCCAGCACAAGACCAGTATTCCCATGTAGTACGATGGGCGCTTGAACTTTGCAAGCAGCATGTTCGACGGCACTTCGAAGAGGACGTAGGGAACGAAGAAGACCATCAGCGCAACATTGTAATCTGTGCCTTTCATGCCGAGCGTCTTCTCGAGCCCTTCGATCTTGGCATTGCTGGTTGCGCAGGTCAGTCAGTGGCGCGTAGACGTATACTCGACAAAGTGCATAGTTACCCGATGTTCGCTCGGTCGAGATGAGAAATGAGATATAAAACGGCGAGCATAGGACATAGCCGCCAGTCTACCTTGTGGAAAATCCTCCTCTGCTCTGCCTTGTCGATGCTATACAGAAATTCCGCGTCGTCTTGACTCAACCCGGCTTTCATGAAATCATGCAGATGGTACGGCGAGTTCGCCCACGGCGCCTTTTCATTCGATACCTCCTCCATATCATACGTGTGATCTTTTGCTGTGGAATCCTCTACCACCGCATCTCGCGCCATCTTTGTGTTGTTCGTAGGGAAAGGGGGCGGGCACGCAAACAGACGAGAAAATAACAAAGTTCAGCAAAGACAAAACACAAGATACCATCAATAGAGTCTTATATAGTGCCTTGCCTTCTTATCCATACTGCAGGCCATACCTCAGCGGCGCCAAAAATGGCGCCGTCCACACGTCCAAGCACCTGTGTGGAGAGAGACATTGCAGCATGCATATATGCTAATGCTACTCAGCCCAAGGGTAACCATAACCGAGCATACATACCTGCCCCGCGGGGCGAATCCAAAGGCCGCCGTCCAGGGAAAACTCAACATGACCGTTACATGGTTGGAGCCAAGGCTGGGGTAAGGCGGGGGAGTTGGCGGAGGATTCTGCTTGGCGAACAGCTGGTAACGCATTACAGCAATGATTGGCGTTTCCGCGAGAACTTCGGGTGAATAATAGTCCATCGCTTGTTGACTGCCGGCGGCTTGCCAAGCCTCTGCCGGTCTGGAGGTACAGACTATGGACTTGCTGATGTGCTCGTGTGGATTTGTCGCAGGATGCTGGTTGACTCGTAGGCTGAGCGCGGGGACGCAGTTTAAGTACCCCACCGCGTCACGTAGCTGCATGCAAAACTCGGAAGGTCCTTTCCATAGACGGATTGATTTGGTAGCGATGATCGTTGTAATCCCGCGGCTGGGAATGTATAAAAATATACTATATTGCCGCGCGGGGTCAGTACGTCTCTCATTGACAAGCATTTAAGATGACTATCATGAATGCTTGTGAATGGCAAGATTGCATCATTTCCACCGTGCAGTCACGTCTTGATATCTCAGTGTTTGAATCATCACAGATACAGCCATGTCATAAGTAAATCAGCAAGTCTTGGTATCATTAACGATTTGCCTAGAGACTCAGCTAGGCTAAACTACATTGACCTCCAAAACCAAAGTCTATACAACGATTTATCCGAATCATGACAAGATGAACGCATCTTACTTCTTTGCCCCAGACCGGGCAAGTTTCCTCATAAAGGCATTTTGTACACCCTTTGTTCCCTTGAGTTCCTTGTTCCTGCTCCTGTTCACCTCCATGTACGCCATGGTTTGGCCACCCGACAATTCTGAAAGGGTACCAGCTGCTCGTCTCACTCCAAACTTCTTTTTGTTGCCCTTGTTGGAAGCATACTTGGTGCCAAATGCGTCACCTTCGATTCTCTCCTCCTTGGCGTCTTCCTCGCGGGCAAGTAGAACATCCATGAGAAGCTCTCGCCGCTCTTGTGGCGTCGCAAATGCCAGCTGCGAAAAGTTTTCCAGTCCTTCAAGACGGGTAATGACCTTGAAGGCGTATCCCTGGTCGACAAGGAAGGCCTGACGCTTGGACGAGTAGTACATCTCGTCAGTGTCTTTGGAGACCAGGGAGTAGAAGAAGGCGTTGAAACCCTCGTCATTCCTTCTCTTAGCCCGAAGAATTCTACCCAAGCGTTGCGCTTCTTGACGGCGTGAGCCGTAATGTGATGATATTTGGATTAGACATGTCGCCTCCGGCAGATCTAGACTGGTGTCGCCAATCTTGGACAAAAAGATGGTGTTGACGAGCTCATTGTGTTGAAAGTTCTCCAAGATACGAAGACGTTCTTGTTGGGGGGTTGCGCCGTAAATGTACGCCTTGCCGAGCTTGCGCGAATACTTTTCCAACGCATATACATTGTCAGAGAAGACAATAATCTTGTCTCCTCGGGATTCATGATAGTTGATGAGGAACTGACAGGCTTGAAATTTCTTGGGGTTCATAATCGACAGCAATGCGCGCTTTTGGAGCGAGGAAGGCTTGAGCCATTCCGTGTAAAACTCGGGCGTCATTTGGCACCAAACCTCGGCGCACTGAACTTTAGCAATGTGTCCTTGTTCTGACAATTCTTGCCAGTTGGCTTCGTAGAGCTTGGGGCCAATCAGAAAGTTGAGGTCGTCAATCTTGTCATCTTCTCGGAGAAGCGTGGCTGTCAGGCCCAGTTTTGCGTGCGATGCAATCTCGTAGGTGACTTTCTTGAAAATGTTGGCGGGCACAACGTGCACTTCATCAGCTATGAGCAATCCCCATTCCTGCCCACGAATGAACTGCATGACCTTTTCAGCGTCGTGCGATCGCTTTCTGGCATTACTAATCATAGAGTAGGTGCTGATAATAATACCTGCCTGGCGAGGAAATCGAGTCTTGTTGTCGGCAGTGAAGACGGCCACGTCCTCGGGGTTGATGTTGGACCACTTGATGAATTCGGCTCGCCACTGGACAACGGACATGGCACTTGTGCACAGGACAATGACGGATTTCTTCACACCACAGGCAGCCGTAATGCCGACTAGAGTCTTACCTGCGCCACAGGGCAACACTATGATACCTGAACGTGCACGAGAGTTTGAAAACATTTTACTGAGGGCCTTTTCCTGGTAGTATCGAATTTGCGCGTGCGGCTTGAGGTCAATCTCCAAGTTTGGATTTGTGTCGTCGTTGTTAAAGTCGTACTCTTCAGTGAGGGGAAGACCAATGGCCCGGCAGCGTTTGACCACCTTTTCTCGCTCCTCACTCTTGATTTGGAACGAGTGAACTTGGGCAACCTCGTCGTCATCATCGTCCTCTCGCAGTGTAGCAATCATTTCGCTTGGTGCGGGATTTGGGTTGGCGTCTGGCGGAGGTTGCTGCTGGGCCATGTTGTTGGCACCAGCCGCCAGTTTGGTACCTGGAATGGCCATCTGACCAATCTTGGGCGCAGCCTCCTTGATGAGGCCGTCGGTGGAGTCGGCCCTGCACTCTGCGATGATGGGATCGCGGAGGAGTTTCTGGAGGATGGCTGGGTCCTCGCTCTCTATGTACGACAGCGTCTTCTTCAGCACAATCTTGGCCTTACCGAAAGCAGACGTCGACTTCTCGACGAACTGAGTGATGGCCTCGGACAGAGCAGTCTTGGAGTAGCGGTCGAGCTTCTCGATAATCTCCTGCTTGGAATGGCCGACGCTGACGGCGGCGAAGAGACTGTGTGTGGTGAGCTGGTATTCATGCATCTTGGATACACGCGACTGCGGCTCGGCGATGTTGATCAAAAAGTCCTGGGCCTCGTCGAAGAGGGGGTGGAAGGACTCGAGGATGATGCCGCCGGCGTCGTTGATCCACAGCGGGCGGTTGTAGTGGTCGGGCTTGAGGGGCGCGCTCCACTGGTCCGACTTTCTGAAGAGGTCGGCGGCGGCGTCTCTCACACGGCCAGCTCGCGCGCGCTTGGTCATGGCCTTGACGTCGAACTCCTCCTTGAGCTGGTCAAACGTCTCCTGGTCGCTCATGGGCCCATCATCGTTGTCGTCCCAACCATCCTCTGCCTCTGCGTCGGCGGCGGTCTGCGCGAGCTTGCGTTTTGGTGGCATGGCAGCGATGCGCTGTGGCGGTGGCGGTGGTGGTGGTGGTGGTGGGTGGCGTGGAGATATGTAGGTGGACTGGGACAGGTAAATGTCGAGGCAGGCAGGCAGCCGCGAGGGTGTGATTACGTAAGGACGCGCCCAGACGCGAAAGCATGTGAATGGCGGGCCGGGGGGTTCGGTTTTGGTTTGGTGGCAGGCGACGTCACCTCGCCAGCAAGGCGGCCCCTCTGACCAGAATCCGCCCTATTGCACACGCCCACCCCCCAGAATGCGCCGCGCATGAAGACGTGACATGCTTCCCAATGGGCGCATCCGACTCCAAACTCTCCTTCAAGCAGGGCATCTTCCGCCTGTCTGAGCCCAAGCAGATCCCCGCCGACGACGCCTACTGGACTGGTGTATGCTCCCCTGCCCGTGCTGCGTTGCTGCCGCTATTGCAATTACAAGCACTGCTACTGTACTATGCTATGCTGCTGCTGACTATGCCGCCAGTTCTGGGAGCTGCCCGAGTCGACGGAAGATGTCTTTTCGCTCTTCTCCCCCGCGGACATTCGCCGCACGCGCGACATCAACCTAGCCAACCTCGAGACGCTCATCCTCGCCGTCACCTCGCGCCTCATTGTCCTGCGCAACCACCCCTCGTTCCCCGACCCCGACCTGGCCCCGGAGCGCGATGCCCTCAACTGCATCCGCGTCCTCACGCGCCTGCTGCCCTTTCTGTACGAGGCCGACCATCTGGACACGTGGGAGGACCAGTTCTTCTGGGCCACCCGGCGCAAGCGCAGCCGCCGCGGCCAGCTAGTGCGCACCGAGGTGCTCTTCGACGAAGCCGACCCCGAGCAGCCGCCCACGGAGAAGGAGCCCGAGTTTGAAAAGGCCAAGCCGCTCGCCGAGGAGATTATCGACACCCTCATCGACCTGCTCTTCTTCTCCGAATTCACCCTGCCCAAGGTCCCCGCCGGCAAGAACAAGGTCACGTATGCCATCTGGCAGAGCGGCGTGGGCTGCAACACGCCCGTCGCATCCACCAAGGAGTTTGAGAGCAACAGGACTGAGATTCTGCGCCTGCTCCTCACTCTGGCAAGCAAGTCCATGTACATGTCGGCTGGTATGCTGTCGCCTCGTCATGACCGATACAAAGTCGATTCTGACCCATTGCAGGCGTGCTACCGGTAAAGGGTGTAAAGGCCATCACATACATAGCTACGTGTCCGGACAAGCAGGTTGTCTTGTCGGTCCTGTGCTCGCTTCTCAACACGGTGCGTCTTACTTGGTGTACTAGATGCGCTCACTGACCCTCCATAGACGCTCAAGTACAACCCCGCAACCTGGCGCGTGCCGTACGATCATGTGGTGTTCAAAGATCAGCGGCAGATTCTCGTCACATACTGTCTACAGCTGCTTTTGGTGCTTGTCCTGTACCCCATTCCAGAGCCTGGTAATGGCCCAGCACCCAAGAATTTCTTCCGTCATTTTCTAGGTCGTCTGCACCGTCCACAGGATTTCCAGTTCCTCGTTGACGGCATGACAAGGATCCTAAACCAGCCGGTATGCATTACGCACATTTACCAAGCTTCTTGGCTGACACTTGCTAGCTCCAAGCAAACACGTCCTACCTCCCTGGCAGCCACAAATCGCTAACCTGGGCCCCGGAGATGATCATGCTTTTCTGGGAAGCGCTGCAGTGCAACAAGCGTTTCCGCTCCTTCATCATCGACACGGACCGGGCCCACGATTTTGTCGTCTTGGTGCTATACTATGCGATTGATCAGCGCAATGATCCGTCCAAGCAGGGTCTTGTGCGCATGTGCATTTTTGTACTCCAGACACTCAGTGTTGAGCCGCAGTTCGGCAAGAGCCTCAACAAGACGTTTGAAGGCCAAGAATCCCTTCCAGCCAGCATTCGCATCCCCAACTTCCACGGCACGTATGCCGACTATGTCATCACGGTAGGCAAATCCATCACTCACACCATGTCTGCTAATCATGCTAGTCCATCTACACACTACTCACCACGGGCAAAGGCAAACTCGATGCGATCTATCCAGCTCTACTTGCGATACTCAACAACATCGCTGCTTATGTTCAGAACCTTGGGCGCGCAACCAGCTCAAAACTGCTGCAACTCTTTGCTTCCATGTCGGCACCTAGCTTCTTGCTTGCGAATGAAAACAACCACACACTGCTGCACTCGTTGTTAGAGGTCATGAATGCCATGATCGAGCATCAATATCAGCGTAAGTATGGCTAGCGCTGTGAACGTTGACCTATACTGAGGCGAATAGACAACCCAAACCTCGTGTACGCCATTGTACGTTCGCGAAAGCGGTTCCAAGCATTGAGACACTTTACTCTTGAAAGTGGCCAAGAAGAGCTTGAGCGTCAGAATCAGCAACGCAAGGAGGACGGAGAGGACCTTACACGCACAAATTCCATTGACAGTCTGAGGAGTCCGACGGCCGCACGGACACCTACGCTGGGTAATGTGCCAGAAGAAGATGGGGCTTTTGCCATTGGCGACGATGACGATGATTCGGACGAAGAGGCAGACGACTTGCGGACTCCGGATGCAACCAGATCACGGACACACTCACCGTCAGGAGCCTCGAGGAGTGCATCGATAGCGTCGTCGATAGATGAGTCGGTGCCGCTTCAACTGAGGGGTATGTCTGAAAAGGCACGAGGCAAGCGGCCAGTGGGCCAGCCAGCCTTTTCGCGGCAAAACAGCGTGACGAGCTTGCACAGCATAGCGGGTCCAGCGTTGGCGTCGAATGAGTTCTTCACGCCGTCTGTACCATGGGTAGGTTTATTTGTGTGGAGGATATGGCTTTGGTATGGCATTGCTAACGTGAGCTTTAGTTGGAAGGGTGGCTTTCGGAGTTGCCGTTGCACACGATTCTCATGCTGATATCAGAGCTTGGGCCGAAGCTGCCGGCTTCGGGCGACTCAAACGACACGGCAGCAGCGCTGAAGATGATTGGCGAGACGGAAGTACGAGGCATCGAGCCGTCGCCAATCAGGGTACACCTGTTTGAGTGGTCGCCGCTATCGCTTGGCTGGTATGAGTCTCTGCTATGGGGTTTCATTTTTGCGGCCGAGATGCTGGTGGCCAAGGGGACTGCCGGGGTTTGGAACAACACTAGCATACGGCTGTTCAAGGTTCAAGAAGCGGCCGTGACGACTCCCTCGCTACTACAACCTAGAGGGGCCGTGGACGCGGTAGGTAGCAATCTGGTGCAGCGAATCGGGTCGCTCAACCTGCGTGGGGTTGCAGGCCAGGCCGCGCAACGCTCCCCGTCAAGCGGCGGGACTGCCGGAACCCCGACGATTCGCGACGTATAGCGGCATGTCAGAGCTTGGCGTTGTTCAGCCACGAGAAGCGAGGGTGAAGGTGTAAAGGCGCGACGACGACTAGTGTAGGTTAGGCTAGCATTAGAGGTAGATAGTATGCAAGGAAGGATGGACGTTGTGAACGAGTGGGTGGGTGGCCCTGTCATGGCGGAGGGTTGTGGGAATGTGATTGGAGAGGGAGGCTGTTTAACGTTTGCCCATATTACCCCGTTTCGGTAGCGATAACAGTATGGGGGGGAGGGGGTTTTGGTGTTGGTGCACAGCCACATATGCATGGCGCAGAGCCACACTAGTGCTAGCACTCGCCACATGTCTGTCTGAGGTGTGTGTGTGTGTGTGTGTGTGTGTGCTAGGTCTAAGGGACTTGACATGGCGAGGCGAACCATGGTGCCAAGCATAATTGATATATATTAGTCAGTGTAACCGACACAATGACATGTTTATTTTTTACTTTTATTTCATTTTATTATATTGAGATTTTAGCATCATGCTTGCTCTGTGATATAGAAGTTATGTATAATGTGGAGATGTGGGAAAGATTGGCAAGCTGTGTGTGTGTGTGTGTGTGTGTGTGTGTATGTGTGGGCTGTTTCGTATGCATGTCTGAAAAAAGAAAGAAAAGAAAGAAAAAAAAAGGAGGGTAAAATGTGCCATTGGGTTATGTACTTTGCAAGCTGGACTCTTTGCGAGTATACTTTCATGTTTATGTGGTTATTTATTTATACAGCCTGCTTTGGGTGGTGATTGTGTAGTTGGTTGGGTGTGTAGATTAGAAGTGCTTCGACTTGCTATTTTGTGGTGGATAAAGGATAGTGGGCTATGGACAGTGCTTGGTTTCAACTCATGTTGCTGTATACATGCAATTCCACGTCAAGTATGAGGCAGTCATGGCAGTGGTAGTGGTGGTGATGAGGCTGTTACGCTGTCTACACTGACGAACCATGGTCGCATGGTATGGCTGATGGCGTCGTAGAATGGATACCCCACACGAGAAACTTGAGCGGAAGCGGTTGCCGTGAGAGTGGAGGCTATCTGGTGGTGAGAGGTGCGAGGGATGGGGTATATCAAACAGTGGCTTGGAGGCGTGGGTGGATGGAGTCGTATACTTGCTTTTTCTACTTGGACTTGTTTCGTAGCATGCTGCTATCTCCGGAAGCTGGTTGATAGATGGATGGATGGATGGATGGCGAGTTTGTCACTGGCCATGTCGAGCATTGGCACTGTCGTACCCCGCGGTGTCTGGCTGTATACACGGCAATTGCAGCATCCATGGAGCGCGCAGAGCATGTGGACTGGGCATGCTGCCGTGCCTGTCCGTGCCCAAAGCAGTAAAGGGCGGAATTCTAGCGTGGGAGTTGGCGTGCGTGGATGGACAAGGCGGATCAGAGGCCAAGCTGGTCGCGGTATAGAGGCTCACCGCTCCAAGTATAGTGGTTGCTGAGGGCAGGCGGGGGGGCTGGCATGGATAGGACGGGCGGTGGGGCGGTCGAAACATGGTGTGGGTGGGCATACGGGCGAATGTGTGAGCAGGCGGGCGGGCGGTGGTGGTCAAAGAGCCCGAAGGGGAAAGTGGTGAGTAAGAGGTGTGGATTGAGGATATAGCTATATGCGGGCTGCAGCTATGTTGCTATAGCTGGGGAAGTCACTAACGCCTCGACGCATGATGCTGCAACGGGCTAGCATGCACCGCCGTCGAGAGTGTGCCTGGTCGCCGGGACCATGTCGGTGCCTTTATGACGTTGCTTTCTGCGACACCACCGCCTGGCCTCCCTTGCTGCTGCGCCTGCCGATGGATGCACCCAGCATAGGTGTAGTCGCCGTACATGTACTTAGACTACACAGCAGCCGTTGCACCGCGCCCTGCCCGCCATCCTTGCGCCCGCGTCACATGGCCCGCCGTCCATCGCCATCGCCGGCGCGACATGTGAAGGGCCTGGGTGTCGCTGCGCCGCCCACCCAGAACGGGAGCATGGCGCGCCTAAAATTAGGCCAGCGTCGTCCCTCGTTGCCATGTACCGCCCGCTCGCTATAGCAGAGCCAGCCAGTGTATATTGGCGCTTTAGCCGGCCTTGCGCCCTCACCTTTGCCTTCTCGCTGCCCGGCCCGGGCGCCCAGCGCGCGCCAGCCAGTGGGACAATTGTCGGTGACGTCCTGGTGGGAAAAAAAAAACACCGCACTGGCTCTCTGGCGAAAAATGCCCTGTCGCCTGAACGCCCGAAGCTTCCACCTCACCCTCCCCCCCCTCCCCCCACCCAACCAACTCCAAAACAACAGCCACCACTGCCGGGAAATGGTGACAGCCGTGGGGTCCTCGCGATACCAGATTCCGATACCCTGGGCAAGTATCGGGTCCAGCAGACGAGGAGATCTGCTTCAGAGACTGGGGGAGAGGGGGGTGGGGCGGCGGCGGCGGCGGGAGCGTGTGGGTGGTGCTATCGGGGCCTGTGAGGGAGCAAAAGTCAGCGCCTTGGATGGGCTTGAGCGGTTGTGTGTGTGTGGTTGGATAGGCCGCTCTTGGACGAGACACGAGCGACTCACTTCGCAGGCTTGGACAGAAAGCGGACCAGGTCCTCGCGACGCATAGAAGGGCAGACGGCGGGCGGCGGTGGAGAAGGGAACTGCGGGCGACAGAGGCCTATGCAGCAGGAGAGACCGAAGGAAACACAGAGGCGGGCAGCGTGACGGGAGAGGTTTTATCAGACGGCGTCGAGGGCAGACGGTCGGTCAAGGAAATTAAACAATGGGCGTCGTTGGGCGCTGACGTTTGTGGGCGAACAGCTGAGTCGCCAAACTCGGATTGCCAGCCGTTGCGGGGGGGACGAGAGAAGAGGGAGAGAGAGAGAGAGAGAGAGAGAGAGAGAGAGCAAGAGACGTACTGTAGGCAATAGCTGTGGGGGTATTGGTGATGAGCTGTGATGTCGGCGATGAATAAAATTCCCGTTCTTTACTTTTTTCGGTGGTTGCGCAAGGCCTCGTTTATCCCCCTCAACGCCCGCCCTCCCTAACATCGACTACGGTCGTTCCCACACCTCCCGTCCACTGCTGCTGGCACACGCCAGCCTCGTCTACTCTTCGCGACCCGTGGGCCAATTCTTCTCAGGCGAGCACCGCATTGCTTGTCTGAGCGAGGTTGTGCTGCACACAGCTTCTCATAGCTAGCCCCAGTCCTCCAGCTTGGTTCAACCCAGCCCCCCGGCAAACCAACTCAACTCGCCAACCACATAACCCCCGGGCTGCTCCTCCCACCCAAACTGCAAAGAGATGGTTGCTACCGAGATTCCTCAGCACTACACTGCCTCGCCCTCGTCGCACATTGGCACCCCCCAGTTGACAATCAACAAGGAGGCCACCATCGATCTCGACTCGACAAACTCGTTCGAGGGCCCTGAGAAGCTCCTGGAAGTATGGTTCAGCCCTTCTGCCACCGAATTGCCTGGCCAGGCTGGCCCGCTTGGCCTGAAGAAGGTGTCGGCCGATGTGTGGAAGGACATGCTTGATCTCGTCAATTGCAAGGTTCTCTCGGTCATTGAGTCGGAGCACGTCGATGCCTATCTCTTGTCCGAGTCGAGCATGTTTGTCTTCCCCCACAAGGTCGTGCTCAAGACGTGCGGTACCACGACGCTTCTCTGGGGTCTCACGCGCATGCTGGAAATCGCTGCTGGAGCCGGTTTCCCCTTTGTCGCCCCAAAGGCGTCGGGCGTCGCCCCAGCCGCCACGCCCTACCGCGTCTTCTACAGCAGGAAGAATTTCCTCTACCCCGACCAGCAGCGAGGCCCCCACCGCAGCTGGCGAGACGAAGTCCGCTATCTGGACGACCGCTTCCGGGGCGGCAGCGCTTACATGATTGGCAAGATGAATGGCGAGCACTGGTACCTCTACATTACCGGTCCAGACACCAGCCTTACGCCGCCTCCCAGCCCAGGCGAGGAGAGGCTGGAGCCTGACACCGAGACCAAGTTTGTGAGCCACCCTCAGCGCCTGCTGCGTGAACAGGCCACCGACGAGGAGGAAGACGAGACTCTGGAGGTACTGATGACCGACCTCGACGAGAAGAACGCCCGTCAGTTCTATCTCGAGGACGCAAGTGCGGTTGCGGAAGGTCGCTACATCCAGAGGGCTCGTGAGGCTCGCAAAAACGCCATCCAGTCTCTTGGCACCATCTCGGAAGAGAATGGCCACACGGAAAGTCTGGGTGGCTCTACCGTCCTCGACTCGACTGCCAACACGCACAAGTCGGACGACAGCTTCGACGTTTTTGAGCAGACATCCTCTGACCATTCTGGCTTCAACTCGGACGACGAACTCACCTTCCCTGAGGAGCTTACCACCGAAGGCCACACGCTCGGTACCGTCGTCTCTGAACACTGCGGTCTAGCCGACGTCTACCCCACGACCAAGTACCCCGATGCCCGCATCGATGCCTATCTCTTCACGCCCTGCGGCTTCTCGGCCAATGGCGTCATCCCTGCGCCTGGCGGTGCGCCCAACGGCTCCAAGAAGGGCTCAGACGCTACGCACTACTTCACCGTCCACGTCACTCCGGAGCCACAGTGCTCGTACGCCTCGTTTGAAACCAACGTCCCTGCCCGCCAGACAGGCCGCGAGACAGCAGACATTGTCGAGCACGTCGTCGGCATCTTCAAGCCCGGCAGGTTCAGCGTCACCCTCTTCGAGGCCAAACCCGCCGCCGGCGACGCCCCCTCCAAGTCCTCCGACAAGGCCAAGCGCATGGAAGTCATTCCCGGATACCGCCGTGTCGATCGCATCGTGCACGACTTGGACGGCTACGATCTCGTCTTTCGCTACTACGAACGCGACGACTGGAAGGGAGGTAAGCCTAGACTTGGTGAGGACTTTTAGCTCCGTCGCTACAAGGGTAGAAATTGCTATTGCGAAAATTTTCCATATCCATGTACGTGTCGACTTGGGCTGCGTTTGCCCTTTGTTCTGCGACTCGGTGTGGTTTTTTTCGACACAGTCACTACTATTACTGTATTTATTCTACTTTATTCTCTTTGCCAAGTACGAATCCTCTGCCTTGAATCCAATTCCACTCTTTTATTCTATTTTTCTCTCTGCTGTTCATTCTGTCTGCACTAAGTGAGTGAGTGAGTGAGTGAGTGTATTGTTGTGCGTGCTGTTTCGAGAGAGTACTTGATTCATTGTGCGTGTGAACATATAAGAAGAAAAATGTGGTTTTTACATTCATTCATTCATTCATTCATTCACCCATTCATTAACTCTAGTCAGACTTGTTTTGCAAGAAAAGTTGACTTTTTTTTTTTTTTTTTTTTTTCCT